AGCTCTCCCTCAGTACTGACTCTCCAACAGTGCAGTTCTCCCTCAGTACTGACTCTCCAACAGTGCAGCAGTCCCTCAGTACTGACTCTCCAACAGTGCAGTTCTCCCTCAGTACTGACTCTCCAACAGTGCAGCACTCCCTCAGTACTGACTCTCCAACAGTGCAGCTCTCCATCAGTACAGACTCTCCAACAGTGCGGCTCTCCATCAGTACAGACTCTCCAACAGTGCAGCACTCCCTGACTACTGCATTGGAGTGTCTTCTAACCTTGTTGTCGGTTCAGAACCTGTTGCTTGTGAAGCAAGGAAGACATCAACTAGCTCAATGCGAACAAGTCGAAATCTCAGAGATGATAGCTTAGCTTCCATTTGGCTCAGCCCCTGATGTGGCAAAAAAGATGGCAAATTACTTTTGGGATATGATTGGAATAGTTTGGAAATATGCTGGAAAAAGGCTGGAAAGACAGCATCTGTGGGTTTCACCTCTGTGGTCTGCAACCTTAGAGCATAAGGTCTTGCTCCTGGTCAGAGTTGGAGATGTTTGTCTTCCTAAACGCATAGTGTCCTTGCCCTCGGTTTAACACAATGCTTCAGTTCACAGGCTAATTTTTTCCTTATTTACTTTTTGCAATGAAGAGGACTGTTTCGTATCCAGGCTGACCTTGTGGCATATTGTTTTAACACAATGGGACAGTGTGAGAAAGCTACTGGAACTCTGTGAACTGACATCCCCCACCATTCCTGAGTAATTCTAACCCACCCAGATAGAAGTTGACTCAATCAGTTCAGCTGCCTGGCTTTACATCCTGTTCAATTTCCCTGTCACTGACTGCTGGCTCAGTTTTTTTAAAGTGACCTTATGGAACATAATCACACTCTGTGGTCTGGCTCTGCCACACGTCTGACTACAACAGAGGCAAAAAAGAAAGACAGAACGAGCGAGCGAGAGAGAGAGAAGATAGCCTGTTGCTGACTAGATCATTCAGCCACCGGGTCAGGTCTGGATAATCTTAGCCCAGTCCCCTTTACAAAGAATGAGCTTCCTTCCCAATAGCCAAGTGAGAAATTGTGATTCAGACGTGGATCAGACTGGGATGAGAGAAGGAGTCAGGATGCCCACTCCTTATAGATATCTCTGCTGGATAGTGTCTCCATGTGGCGTAGGAATGTTCCAAGGGGCTGTCTGCAACAGCACCAGTCAATGACCACTCAGTGGGTGGTGAATGTGCACTCAGTGAGAATAGTGAATGCCCATTCTAATGCTCCCCATTCCGTGAAGAAAGCTCACACCATGTCACTTCTCAGACAAGCACTTTAACCTCCTGTGCTCCCCCCTCCCCAACCCTCCTTTCTTCTAACCCTGCCCTGGACACTCAGAGTCTCCTCAGAGTACCTCCCAATCAGATTCTGTTCACCAGGCTGACACTCAGATTTCCCACCTTCCTCCAACCCTTCGCAGATCTTCCATGGCCCCCCTCCCTCTCAGAAATCCTTCTCAATCTCTTCTCAGACTGACTCACAGTTGTGCTTCCCTGACGGTGGATCACTAAACGGGCAGGAACTTACGCTTGTGATCAGAGACAGTGGACCAGTGAAACTCACTGTGTCTGAACCAAGGGTGAGTACAGCATAATTGTTACACTTTCAGCATAAGATACAAACTGGGACCTTTCTTAAATTTCCACAAATCGAATACAAAAGCTGAAACCTCAGCGTGAAAGTTATCTAGCTCTGTTGTTACAGCTGAAGTATAGCATTCATGGCCTTGATTTGCATTTTCATGTTGTCTAACTGTGTGTATCCAGAAGAAAAGACAGTAACCATGTGTCAGCATCTGATCCTAGATATTCCACCAGATTGCTAATAAGAGAGTAAAGGTTGTACCTGTTTCTCCTGGTTGTACGCGGTCAGGTTGGTGTTGTAATCCCAGCTCGCTGAAACACTCTTAAATAAGATGATTTCTGCTGTTTTGTTGTAATCACTCACAAATGCTGCTGCCCCCACTTCATTAATGCTGTAGTTGTTGGGTCTGTATGAAGGATCCAGGGCACAAGACCCCCCGAAGGAAAGGACCAGGCTGAGGAGACAGGGCACAGCGGTTTGCATGTTGTAGCGCCTGCCCCTTTCTCAGTGTGTTCTCCAGCACCAGCCTCTTTAAATATAATCGTGTCCAGCACAGTCTTCCCAGCTCTGATCTGCTGATAACACATAACCTTATAGCACTCTCTGATGACAGGACTGTTCAGAATAATAAAACCTCTCTTTAGTTGTTTCCTTGTTTTACTGCACTCTGTGTTAAAGGCACCTCCCAGAGCCATCAGCCACTCCACCCAAAACAGCTTTCTTCACAACTGCCAGTGTAATCGCTCTGCCTGTGTGTAGGTTGCTTCATACCACAGGAGTGCTGGTTTGAGCAGAATCTTGTTCAATCTAACACTGCCTCTGAATGGCAGCAGAAGGAATGTTGCACTGAATTTTCTCTGTCTCTCTCTCTCTCACACACACACACACACTTGCCCCATGAGATAAACTCTCCCAGAAGCTGTACTCACTAATCCAATTTCTTCATCCTTTGAGCACAGTGCAGATGGACATTACATTCATTGATATCAATGCCAAATGACAGCACACGCACAAAAGGGAAAACCCCAGGCAGTATCTGCCTGGCTTCTCTTGGTAAAAACCAGCCAATTACAGCTTCTATCAGGCACAAAAATTTTGTTTGCATTGAAACGTAAATAACATTTTTCTGGGTTTGTATCGTAGAAAGTTCTGCAAATAGGAAATGGCTCCCAGTGCCTCTCTGCTGTGCCACTCCATTCAGCCCTCTCCTGCCTCACACCAAGTTCATGTTGATGTCTTTTACAGTTCGGGGGAATGGCCATTTTTGATCTCATCGATTTAAGGGTTTTCATGGTTTTCCACGCAAAATGCAGGGAAGAAACAGGCCATTTGGCCCGTTTTTATCGTGCTAGTGCTTTTAGGTTGTCAGTGAATCCTTTTACTCCTGTGCCTCCCAATTTGACCCCTTCTTGAAGCTTGAAACTGGTTGTGAGCACTCAGTGAGGGCTGAGGGAGCAGGGTATTGGCATTTTGCGAGCTGTGAGGGGTGGGGGCGCGGTGTGGCTGGTGATGCTGGTCATAGTGAGAACACAGCTGTAAGAACTCAGTCACATATCCATGGCCCCATTGCTGACTTTGAACTTGCAGCACTAAAATTTCACCTCACGACTCCCACTTCGGGAAGCCCCATTCATTTCTTTCTTTGTGGGTTTATCAAGTTTCCCCGTGAGTGAAGCTATGCTATTTCCCACCACTAGATAATGAGAGATAACTCCCCTAGACAATGAATTCTACATCCTCACTAATTTTTGGGGAAAGACATTGTTCTTGACTTTTTTATTCAATTTCTGAATGATCATTTAATATTTACAGTCCCTTGTTCCAGTCTCCCACACCTCTCTGTCCTTCCAAACCTTTTCATAACCTTCGGGTGCACCATTAGTTCATCTTCTCTGTTCTGGAAGGAGGTGTCCCAGTCCATTCAATTCTTCAGTCTCATGTGCTGTTTTATCTCATCAAAAGTAGGGGAAGCATTAGTGAGTGACTCGAATCAAGATGATGCACAGAATTCAACCTCACTTTAAATAGCTGTCCATGGAGACATTGTGTGGGATCTTTATTTCGTTGTGCGATTTTGGTGGATAGTATGTCAGTAATAGAGTCATAGAGTCATACAGCACAGAAACACACCCTTCAGTCCAACGTGTCAGGGCCGACCAGATATCCTAAACTGGTTGAGTTCCATTTGCCAGCATTTGACCCATATCCCTCCAAGTCCTTTCTATTGATATGCCCATCCAGATGTCTTCTATATGTTGTAACTGTATCTGCCTCCATCACTTCCTCTGGCAGCTCGTTTCATACATGCACCACCCTCTGCATAAAAAAATTACCCATCAGGTCCCTTTTCAATCTTTTCCCTCTCACCTTAAACCTATGCCCTCTAGCTTTGGACTCCCCTACCCTGGGGAAAAAGACCTTGTCTATTCACCCTATCCATGCCCCTCATGATTTTATAAACCTCTATAATGTCACCTCTCAACCTCCAACCCTTCAGGGAAAAAGAAATCATTTCAAAGTAAGGCAATCCTTTAAATTGCAATGGGTTTCACAGTGACAGTGTGAAGGCGCCTCCTCTATATCGAATACTTGTCCAGGATAACACTTCGAATTGGTTTCTGTCAGTCCCACCCTCTGTCACGTCATGACCCCAATGATGGTGCATGTCTTGGGTCTAGGGGATGGTAAAGTGTCAAGGAGTCGGGGTGGTAGGGGGGGTGATGGGTGGGGTGGCAGGAATATTGCGTGGGGAACCCAGAAGTGGAAAGACCCTGGCTGCAGGGAGGGTCAGGGTATTGATGATCATGGGCGGATTGGGGAAATTGATGGATTGCACGGGCGTTAGAGATGGGCTGGGTTATCGTGGTGAAGTGGGGATGTGGAGTGGAAATGAGAATGGTGTTGGGGAGCAGGCCATATTGGCAGGATGGTGGATGTTGAGAATGGAAAAGTGAGAGGGAGAGGACTGGGATTTACAGGAGATAGTAAGAACTGCCGATGCTGGAGTCAGAGATAACACAGTGTGGAGTTGGAGGAGCACAGCAGGCCAGGCAGCACCAGAGGAGCAGGAAAGTTGAAGTTTCAGCTTGGGACCCTTCTTCAGAAATGGGGGAGGGGGAATTAAGCTCAGAAATAAGTAGAGAGAGGAGGGGTGGGGCTGTGGAAGGTAGGTGGGATGGTGATAGGTGAGTGCAGGTAAGGAGTGGTGGGGATTGGTCAGTGAGGTGGGAGGAACGGATAGGTTGGAGAGAAGATGGACAGGTTGTGTCAGGTCAAGGAAGTGGGGATGGGAGGGAGAGTTGGTCATGGGATGAAACCGGGGGTGGGGAGATTTTGAAACTGGTAAAGTCCACGTTTAGGCCATTGGGTTGTAGGGTCCCGAGGCGGAATATGAGGTGCTGTTCCTTCAGTTTCTGGGTGGCGTCATTGTGACACTGGGGGAGGCCCAGGATGGACATGTCGTCTAGCGAGTGGGAGGGGGAGTTAAAATAGTTGGCAACCGGAAGGTGTTGTCGTTTGTCGCAAACAGAGCGCAGGTGTTCTACAAAATGGTCTCCGAGCCTCTGCTTAGTCTCACTGATGTAGAGGAGGCCACATCGGGAACAATGGATGCAGTAGATCACATTGACCGATGTGCAGGTAAACATCTATCTGATGTGGAAGGTTTGTTTGGTGCCTTGAATAGAGGGGATGGGAAGTTGTAGGGGCAGGTGTAGTATTTCCTGCAGTTGCGGGGAAAGGTGCCGGGGATGGTGGGGCTAGTGGGAAGTGTGGAGCGGATGAGGGAGTCACGGAGAGAGTGGTCCCTACGAAAGGCAGATAAGGATAGGGAGGGAAATCTCTCTTTGGTTGTGGGGTCAGATTGTAGGTGGCAGAAGTGGCAGAGGATGATACGTTGAATCCAGAGGTTAGTGGGGTGATATGTGAGGACAAGGGGGATTCTGTCTTTATTTTTGTTGGGAGGAGGGAAACGCAAGAGGTGTGGTCGAGAGCATTTTCGATCACCAAAGTGGGGGAGTTGCGGTCCTTGAAATATCAGGACATCTGGGATGTTTGGGAGTGGAATGCCCCATCTTGGGAGCAGATGCGGTGGAGGCGGAGGAATTGGGAGTAGGGGATCGCATTCTTGCGGGAAGGTGGGTGAGAGGAGTTGTTGTCTAGGTAGATGTGGGAGTAGGTGGGCTTGAAATAGATATCAGGTTCAAGGTGGTCACCAGAGATGGAGACAGAGGTCCAGGAAGGAGACAGAGGCATTAGAGATGGTCCAGGTAAATCTGAGGTTGGGGTGGAAGGTGTTAGTAAAGATGATGACCTGTTCAAGCTCCTCATGGGAGCACGAGGCGGCGCCGATACAGTCATCGATGTAACCGAGGAAGAGGTGGGGGATGGGGCCAGTGTAGCTGTGGAAAAGGGACTGTTCCACATATCTTATGAAGAGGCAGGCATAGCCTGGGCCCATGCGGGTTTCCATGGCCACCCCCTTAGTCTGTAGGAAGTGGGAGGAGTTAAAGGAGAAGTAGTTAAGGGTAAGGACGAGTTCGGTGAAACGGATGAGGGTGTCGATGGAGGGGGACTGGTTGAGCCTACGGGACAGAAAGAAGCGGAAGGCTTTTAGGCCAGCTGCGTGGGGGATACAGGTGTACAGGGATTGGATGTCTGTAGTGAAGATGAGATGGTTGGGGGCCAGGGATTTGGCAGTCTTGGAGGAGGTGGATTTACAGCATTAGCTTGTAAGGTCTGGGCAAAATACCTCTGCTCCTAACCCACACACTGTGCTGTAAATGATCCAGTACTCCTCACCTTCTTTAACATGGTGGGCTTCCGAAAGCCAGGGAAATCCAACTATCATTGATTAAAAATAGAAACAATGACAAAACGGAGACAGTCTTCAACAGGTTTCAAATGTTTCAACAACTAATTGGGCTCCTGGTAGAGGGTTTGGATATACCGTTTCTACTTACTTCAAAAATACTGCTGTTATAATGAAGAATGAAGCACAAACCCATATACATTGTTTCAAATGCCAACATCCTATTCTGTCTTTCCTGCTTTCTGGATTTAATGAACTTTCTATTTTCTCTTTGCTTTTAGATTCTTGACTTGCCTGGCGGATCAGAGTCTGGGCTGAAGTTGAAGCTTGGAACAAAGTTAGAGAGACTTTGTACAGGGATGTAAATAGCAGGTTGAGTTATTTTTCATCCTACTTTACTCTAAGGATTCAGTGTCTAAAGCATGTGTTTGCTTTGTGTCAGGAATTTATTCCCCCTGCATCTATCAGTGCCTTACAGTTCATTACACTGCCATTGGTTTCACATGGAAATCTGAGCTCCGAACCTCTGTGCACACTGACCTTATTCAGGAGAGCTCTCGGACTAGGATGAAAATGAGAGCCAAACCTTACAGCAGTGAAATTAGGTTAGACTAAAGATAAAACACTCAAGATGCTAGAAAACTGAAACAAGCTCAATGAATTCTGAAGAAACTCAGCACGTCTAGCAGCATCTGTGGAGAGAGAAACATAGTTACTGTTTTGAGTCCTGTGTGACATTTCTTCAGAACTGAAAGATGTTGGACCAAAACAATTCAGATTGAAAGAAGAGCTGTACCAGATTTGAAACTTTAATTCTGTTTCTCTGTCTACGGATGCTGCCAAATTAAGGAAGACTTTTTTCTCCCCTTTGTTCATTCACGGAAAAG